GAAGGCTGGAGGGTAGAGACATGTCTGACCTCAAGCTCATAGGAACTGACTTTGGGCGTATTAATACCTCTGAGTCAGATTCTCCCATCCCCTTGTGAAGTCAGAGTTGGTCAGACCTCCAAATGCCCATACTTACAAGCCTGTGCATTGTTTCTCCTATTGTTTATATCTTGCATTTGTGTGATACGTTTGTTACAATTGATGAACCAATACTGACACAGTATTTTTAACTGAAGCCCAGAGTTTGCATTAGGGTTAGCTCTTAGTGTTGTACAGTCCTCTGGGTTTTGAGAAATGCATAAGGCCAGTGTCCTACAGAATAGTTCTACTACCCTAAAACTTTCCTGTGCCTCACCTACGTATCCCTCCACCTCTCCACCTCTCCCCCTAGGTTCCTGGCAATCGTGGATCTTTTCGCTGTCTCTACAGTTTTGCTTTTTCCAGAATTCCCTATCATTGGAATCATGCAGTGTGTAGCTTTTAAAAACTAGCTTCTGTCGCTTAACTAAATGCATCTAAAGTTCCTCCATGTCTTTTCGGAGTTCTGGTGTGGCACTATAGGATAAGCACTAATTGTTGACTGCAAGGTCAGCAGTTCAAACCTACCAGCCGCTCCTAGGAAACTCTATGTTGTTGTCGTTAGGTACCATCGAGTTGGTATCGACTCATAGCGACCCTATGCACAAAAGAACGAAACACTGTCTTGTCCTGGGCCAACCTCACAATCATTGCTAGGCCTGAGCCCATCTCTGCTGCCACTGTACCAATCTATCTCATTGGGGTTCTTCCTACAGGGTCACTATGAGTCAGAACTGATTCAACAGCCCTCAACAAAAACAACAGCCATGTCTCAGTTCTTTTTATTGCAGAATAACTCCATTGTATGGATGTAGGGCAGTTGATTTATCCATTCTTCTATTGAAAGGCACTTTATTGTTTCCAGTTTGGGCAATTGTGAATACAGTTGTTATAAACATTCATGTGCAAGCTTTTATTGAGACATATGATTTCAACTCATAGAGGTAGATATCTAAGAGCAAAATTGCTGGATCAGATGACAAGTCTTATTTATCTTTGCAAGAAATTTTCAGACTATCTTCCGGAGTGATTTAACATTTTGCATTCTCACCAGCACACATATGTCAAATCTATTCTTGAGATGGTCCCTAAATTCAGTTAGCATATATTGAAAGAATAAGTCTAAGCGATACTAAAATTGTTGGTGAAAAACAAAACTCCAGGAGTTGATGGAATACCAACTGGGGTGTTTCAACAAACAGATGCTAGAAGTGGTCACTCATCTATGACAAGAAATTTGGAAGACAATTACCTGATCAACTGACTCGAAGAGATCCATATTTGTGCTCCTTCCAAAGAAAGGTGATCCAACAGAAAGTGGAAATTATCAAATGATATCATTAATACCATTTACATGTAAAATTTTGCTGACAATGATTCAAATTCACCATTCATCTGTTCGTTTGTCATACTGTGGTGGCTTGCATGCTGCTATGGTGCTAGAAGCTATGCCGCCAGTATTTGAAATACCAGTAGGGTCACCCAAGGTGGACAGGTTTCAGTGGAGCTTCCAGACTAAGACAGATTAGGAAAAAGGACAGAGCAGTTCTGAAAGATTAACCACTGAAGACCTTATAAATAGCAGCAGAGCATTGTCAGATACAGTGCCAGAAAATGAAAACATTTCAATAGTAGGAGAACTCTGTCAGATAATAATACCGGGATATGAGCCCCTCTGGTTGGAAGGCATTCAAAATATGACTGGGGAAGAGCTGCCTCCTCAAAGTAGAGTTGGTCATAATGACGTGAATGGAGCAAATCTTTTGGGACTTTCATTTGCTGATAGGGCACAACTCAAAATGAGAGGAAGCAGCTGCAAACATCCTTCAATAACTGGAAGGTGTAATGTACAAAGTAAAGTAAAGAGTCCTGATGTGGTGCTGTGAGCACTGGATTGCAAAACTGGCTTGAACCACAAGGCCCATGATTCAAGCTCACCACCAGCTGCTCATTGGAAACCCTACACAGGGTCAGTATGGATCAGAACCAACACAAAGGCACTTAACAATAACAATGTACAAAGTATGAATCTAGGAAAATTGGAAGTTGTCCAGAATGAAATGGAATGATATCGTAGGCATTTAGAGAGCTGAAATGAATTGTTATTGACCATTTGAACTCAACAATTGTATGGTTTACTATGCCAGAAACAACAAATTCAAGAGGAATGGCATTGCATTCATCCTCAAAAAGAACATTTCAAGGTCTGTCTTGAAGTACAGTGCTGTCTGTGACAGGATAATATCCACACACCTACAAGGAAGATGGGTTATTACTACAATTATTCGATTTATGCACCAACCACTAAAAGCAGTGATGATGAAATTGAAGAATTCTACCAAGTTCTTCAGTCTGAAATTGATCAAACATGGAATCAAAGATGCTTTGATAATTACTAGCAGTTGGAATGCAAAGGTTTAAAACAAAGAGGAAGAATCAGTAGTTGGAAAATATGGCCTTGGTGATAGAAATGATGCTCGAGATCACATAATAAAAATTTGAAAGACCAATGATTTATTTATTTCAAGTACCTTTTTTTTTCTTCTTTACTATACATATGGTCAGCTAATTGGAAGAGATCTGTATGTGTACCCATTCAAAAGAGAGGTGCCCCAACAGAAATCATGGAACAATATAATTAGTATCACATGCAAATAAAATGTATTTATGGATTAATGAATTCCTCTCAGGTTCCAAAAGACAAAGGATCAACAGGACCCGTTTCCACCCTCATCTGTCAGTATGTCATACTGTGGTGGCTTGGTGTTTCTGTGATATTAGAAGATATTTCAAATGCCAACAGTCTCACTCATGACAGGCAGGTTTCACTGGATCTTCTAGACTAAGACAGACTGAAATGTAAAGCCTGACACTCAACTTAGAAAATTAGGCAGTGAAAACTCTATGTATCACAATACAATACTGTCTAACATAGTACTGAATCCTCTGATTTGGAAGCATTCAAAATACGACTGGGGAAAAGTTGCATCTCCAAGAACTGCATCCACCTTAAAGACAAGGATGGAATAAAACCTTCCACATCTACATTAGCTGGCGGTGAGCATGTGCTCTAACATTAGCCAGTCAGCATATTCTATGCCTTTGCTAGTGTTGATTGGTTTCTGTTTGGACACATGCAATAAGCATCAGGCTCAGGACTTCTGTCCAAACAAATGGGAAGAAGAAACCCCTGGGGCCTGGAGTTGTTGGATTCACCACCTGGAGCCAACTCAAGGGAAAGGACCACAAAGAGATGTCAGAAGACCAGCTTGAATCCTTCCCTGGATCCAGCCAGACCTGAAGGCAGTACACATTTCAATAATGTGAGCCACTACATCTCCCTTTTATGCAAACAATTTTGAGTTGAAAACATCCTGGGTACTGAAGAACAACAGGAAAATAATATTTTAAAGGTTCTTAAGTACTTCAAAAGGAACTCTGATAGCATAGTGGTTACGGATGGTGCTGTGAACCACAAGGTCAGCAGTTGGAAACTATCAGCGGTTCTGCTGGAGAAAGATGAGGCATTCTGCTCCCGTAAAGATTTACAGCCTCAGAAACCCTGTGCAGGGTCGCTATGAGTCGGAACTGACTCCACTCCACGACACTTAACAACAACAACAAGTACTTCAAAGAGGGATGTCCTAGAAATGCAAATCTCATACTGTTTCTTCTTATTTTGAAATTTACTGACTTTGGGGAGCAGGAGGGGGCTAAGAAGAAGGAAGTCACGGTGCTAGTTTTATTTATGAGTTACAATTATATTTGCAGAATAAATTCAACAATTTTATCTCTGGAGTTTTAACTTTTCAGCATTTCACAGTTGTGTCGTTGTTGTTGTTGTTAAGTTGGTTCTGGCTCATAGAGACCCTGTACAGGGTTTCCAAAGTTGTAAATCTTTGTGGGAGCTGAAAGCCTCGTCATTCTCCCTGGGAGCTGCTGGTGGGCTCGAACAGCTGACCTTGTGGTAGGCAGTCCAGTGTAGGGGCTGTGATTTATTGGAATTCCATCTTCCATTCACTGCAGAGGTTAGAGCATGTTATGGCTGAAAGACTGCTGAACCAACAGTTTGATAATCCATTATCTTTGGGAGCGCGGTGGCTCCATATGTAGTAAGCACTAGACTGCAAACCACAAGGTCTGCATTGCAAGGCCACAAGCTGCTCCAGAAGAAAGATGAGGTTTTCAGCTTTCACAAGATGTCTCAGAAACCCTATAGAGGGGTTTCCACGGAAACGGCTCCATGGAATTTAACAATAAATCCTTATCATTACTTTCCACGTTCTGATTATTAGTGCGTGCTTACAGCTGTTTCTTCTTATTTTGAGTCGTGCCCCATCAGCAAGTGAAAATCCTGAAAGCTTTGCTTAATCCACACCATAAAGGTTAATTTTGCTTTCAGAAGACAGTTCAAGCGCCTCCCAATCTGAGGGGCTCATCTTCCAACATATCCCAGACAATGTTCGGTTGTCATTCATAAGTATTTCAGTGGCTACTTTTTCAGAAGTGGACAGCCTCTTGGTTCTTCCTAGTCTGTTTTAGTCTAGAAGCTCCGCTGAAATCTAACCATGGGGAACCCCGCTGGTATTTGTAATACAGGTGGCAACGCAGCCAACTTCACTGCCACGCCAACCTCATCACAGTACTACGAACTAACAGATCACTCAGTGGAAGCGTGGTTTAAAGCAAATCCCTTAGTCTCAATTTCTAAACCTGTAAAGTGAGCAGTATTTCTATATTATCGCCAAGCCTAGCACACCGTAGAGTCTCAATAAATATGAGTTCCACGGCTTTCGCGAATCCCGAAGCGCTGCAAATTCAGCATTGCATTCGATCAGCTCGGCGCTCTTTCTCAAGAGGGATTCCCCCTCCCGAGCCCGAGTCTGCGCTCTGAGATCGACTGAGGCTTCCTGGTCGCTCGCGCTTTTCTCTCCTTCTCCAAGATGGCGGCGGTCGGCGGCGCTGAGGCGGGATCCGGGCGAGCCGAGTGAAGGTAGCGGCCAGCGGAGCCCCCACGAGGCCGGGCCGGGCCCCCACCCAGAGGCGGTAGCGGCCCCGCCCTGCCGCCACCCGCCGCCCTGGGCCCGCGACACCGTCTCGGGGACGCCCCAGGCCCGTCGCGGCCTAGCCCAGGGGCCGAGCCGGGGACTGAAGTAGCGGCCGTAGCCCGCCCCCGGGAATGGGCTGGCGCGGGTCGAAGGAGGAAGGCGGGCGGGAGCTGTTCAAACGGGGAAGGCGGGAAAGCTGCGGGGCCGGGAGGGGGCGTGCGGCCGCCCCGGGGACCTGCGGGCCGAGCCGCCCCTCCCCCTGCCCGGGCCGTCTCCGCCCTCGGGGGCTCCGGGCTGCCGCCGAGGACGCGGGAACCCGAGTGGGCAGCGCGGCTGGGCTCGGGACCCGGCATGCGGGGTCCTGGGACTGTCACGGGGAAAGGGGCCCGAGTCTGGGCGACGGGAGGGCTGGGTTCGCAGCTGCCCCAAGAGGATGCGAGGAATCTTCTTTTCCTCTCTCCAGAGCTTTGTTGAACTAGCAGTTGCTGCAAAACTGCCGGGAGAATCCCATTGGTTTGCGGAGGGGACCCCAAAATAGTGGTCTTGGGGGCTGTTTGGATAAATAACCTGGTATAGGTGTATTCTTTGCGTGCGACCCAGGTGGAAGGTGCCCTGCTGGTGGTGTCTCCTCCTGTCCAGGCCCCTGCCCCGCAGCGAGTACTTGTAGCCTCCTTGTTCGATAATCTGCAGAAGTAACCAAACGTGGAACTCTATTCCCACGCCCAAACTGGTGGCCGAATAAATAATATTTTAAAAAAAAAGAAAGGAATCAACTGTATCCAAAATAAAGCCTGTTGATTGGACAAGGCTTGTCAATTTTTGTATCGCTGGTTTTATGGAAATGTGTGTTGTCAGCCAATCTGTTCGGTGGTCGTGGTTCCACTTAATTACCCGGCCAGGAGTGGAGTCGATCCCAGGCTGTCCAGAGCTGGCACGGGCTGTGAGTGATGCATCCATAGGCAGGTCCCTGGAGAAGGGAGTGGCGTCTGAGATTGGAGGAAACGTGGACCAAAATGAGACATCACCTGTCCCAATCCTAGGAGTAGCACACGCATCAAAGAAAAAAAAAAAATCTGAAACTGACAAGAGCTGGATGCGCAGCTTCCTGTGTCAACTTGGCAATTGGAGTTTCTACAAAGAGGGTTGGGCGAAGACAATGTTGGAACCTCGGACAAAATCTCTCATCCTGGACTACACCTGGTTCGCAAGGTTTCATTTGCAACGGACAGACCCTGTTCCTTCTTTCTCAGTATGCTTTCACATTCTGGATGAAGATGCTCGGATCACCTCAAAAGATCCTTTATAAGTATTTCTAATTTGACTTTTCATGTAACCACAGACTGTAACTGATGATTTTAAGTCTCCCCTAATTACTTTGGTAATACCAAAAGCCTTTATTCCCGAACATATCCAAAGATCCCAAAAGAGACATTGTTTTAACAATTTGCACATTTTCTAAGTATACATTTTTTAAAAAATCCATAAACAGTGTTAAATAATGAACTTTTACTTACATTGTCATTTCTTAGTACACTGAGATGAACATAATTGTAAAATTGTCCTTGCCTCTCGAAGTTGACAGCATTGATTTCTATAAAGGCCAGGACTATGCAACTCAGAAAAATGGGCTTTAACACCTGTTCTACATTTGCCAACATTTATTTATGACCTCTGTTTTCTAATGGAAAAAAAGTAAGATTTTTCATTTCCACTGAGTCTGAATAGTCAGCTGCCGAGCATTGAACTCCACATTTATTACAGATAGTCCTTGAAACACCCGAGGAATATCAGGGACTCATTTGGCTGCATATAAATGTTGCCTTCAACTGCCTTTCATACTGTTGCTTGAGAATTCTTTATCCAGTATCATCTTCCTGAGTCAGCAACCAGAACTAGACCCTGTGCTACAATAATCTGAATTTAGAGAACCTAGAAATTGAAGAGGCCATCCAGCCTGCCCAAGTTTTTGACTGATGCTGTCATTTGTGTTAATAATTTGAATTTTTCAAGCTTTCAACTGCCCCGAGTCTGTGATGAATTGGACCTGGCTTTAGGCTTCTCTCATATTTTTCTACAGATTATGTAATCCTATAATTTGTGAAATACTTTTCAGTGTTTTCCAAGAAAATTTGAACCACAGCAGACCTAATTCTGAGACTTGATGCTAGCACCAGTTACATGTGTTCTGTGTTGGCCTGTGCCTCTGAGGAACAACTCCTAATTTTCTATTTTCCTCCCACAACTTTTTTCACCTACTGGTTTTTGTTGTTGTTGTTTTTTGCCGAAGCAGTTAGTTATGAGGCCAGACATGGCTTTTCCTAGTGCATTCAGTCACAGTGAATGTTTTCTTACTCTTGTCTTTGGAGATCCTTTTTTCTCTTTTGAGGAGTATAGTATTCAACACTGTCCTTTGTTGTTACCAAAGGGAGGGTCTGATTATAAGTCTCAGAACTCAACATTTCCAAGTGCAGTTTATTGTTGACAGATTGGTGGCCATATTTGATATTGAATCTATGAGACCCTCCTCCGCCCCCCAGTATTTCTCAAGCATTCTTTGCCAGAAATTATTTGGCGTGAAAAGCATTTAACTTGAAGTCTCAAGTTGTGGTGTTTCTCCACAGTATCAGCCAATAGGGGAGTCCTAGTGTGGCGCTGTAGGATCAGCACTGGACTGCTAACAAGATTGGCAGTTCAAACCTACCAGCCGCTCCTTGGAAACCCTATATATGGTCACTGTGAGTCGGAAGTGACTCCACAGCATTTAACAACTACAAATCCATACATAGAAACCAATGTGATAGCATATTTTTCTAAAAACTCACTAATTTGGTGCCAGTGAAAGGATCTACTATTTTCATATGAATGGATTCAGTGCCCTGTGGCATACCCTTCCCTCCACTCCTCTCCCTGTGGGACAGAACTACTTGAGGGAGCAAGGGAAGATAGTAGTTGCCATTTGAGAAAATTGGATACTTGATGCTGGAATATGAAAAACTGGCTACCCTATGTATCTTGTTTCTCATTTCTGCATGAGGCCAGCCCTATGTCCCTACCCCCATTATTTCCTAAGAAAGCTCCCCTAAACAAGCAGTTTTCTCATTTGTAACTTTTGATTTTGTTTCTTTGCTTCACTCTTCTTGCTGCTCTTAATTTTGACCTAGCCTAGTCTCCATTTCATTTCTTAAGGAAGGGAAGAATTGCTTTTTTGTTTCTTTTCTCAATCTGACTTGTAAATCACTCTTGTAATTTACTTTCCACTGCTCTCTCTCCTGCTTTCAATTTCAGCCCATCAATACATTGTATTTTATCAGACTGATACAAATGAGTCTCTAGGTGTTTTGTTTTTTTTAATGAAAAGTCTTATGAAACTCCCTTGTTAATCAAATTCATTTTCTTTGTCCCAGAAATTGCACATTTTAATACCATCCACACCTACCTAAAAGGGATTGTTGTTAAATTCTGTCAAGTTGGTTCCCATTATACTAATGAAGGTAAAATAAAACATGAGTAAATAACCAGTTAGATCGACTCCTAAACATTTTTCTAACTGGATGAGAATATCTTCAATGTTTTTTATACATTTTAAATTTACTGCAGAGACTTTTCCATCAAGACTTGTGACGCTACCTGTCCTTAAAGTAGTGCAGTGACTATCTTACTGTGCAGTTCATAGTACTGTTGTCTTCAAGGTAAATTTGACCTACAAACTAATGCCAAAAAAATAATAATAATTTTAACAAATACAAGACCGTGTCGTGATACTTCTAACTAGTGACAGTTTAACATTAGAAAATCATTATCACTGGTCAGATGGTAGTTATTCCTGCTTTTTCACCTAGGCAAACGAAGAGAAGCAGGCTGCTTGATAGTGTTGCAAGCTGGCATATGCTCAGCTAGTGTAAGCAGTGTGCCTACTCTTGCACTGAGCAAAGTCTTAGGCCAATAAAATACATGTGAAAAAATACACCTTTTCTATCCCTATGATGTTATTGTTTCCATGTAACTAGGACTTGAACAGAGTTTACGTGTCACTAGTCAAATTAGCAGGCTTTTGTGCTCTCCATGTGGTGGGATCTGGCTTCCTCTGCAGCTTGCCTCACTGTGCATTTTGTAGCCCTGACAGATCACTCCATTTCTGTGTTAACACTGTTTCGGTGTTGTCAGTTTTGTTGGCATTTCAGAAATTCATTACACGGGAGGCGTTTTATATACTTATCCAAACCACACCTATAATTCTTGAATCAAATCTAAGCCTAGAGTACTTCCTGGAGTAAATGTCCAAGCTGAGTGAGGAGGTGACAAGACACTCCCTGATTTCTTGCTGCCCTTCCAGTCGGCCCTCGGATCACCACGCATTTCCATCTGGAAGGTTCCTTCTCCACAGTGAATTCTCCTTACAGGAGGGTTTTCCTTCTTTGTTTCTCAGACCTGGCCCTGTAGACGGGAAGGAGCCTGGACACAGTGACATTCTCAAAGGCCCTGAGGACCGCCATGGCTTATGATGACCCCATGAAGAAAGAAGGTATGCCCCCTTAATCTGAGAAGCGTTCCAAAGGGGGTGTCCTCTTCACTCCCTGCAGCCCATGGACATAGTGACCAGGACTGGGCACCACAGCTTGGACTCTCAGATGATGGTCCAGAGCACTGTTATGATACTCAGCCTCCACGACACCCCCAGACTGGGCCCATGGAACCGAAAACCAGGACAGGGGTTCCAGCATGAGAGTCCGAAATCTGAGTCTAGATTACTGGGGTGCTCTCCCGCAGCACTCTTGGCCCTTGCCAGCTCCAGTGTGCAGGACTCTGGGGATAGGAATCACGTATTGGACTGCCACAGAGCAGCGCAGCACATGAATCCGTACTCTATCCAGCCTGACCTCTTCAAGTCCGTGTCCACCTGCCAAACCACAACTAAGAAGCCAGGTCTGAGGATGCACATTGGGCCTGGCGTAGTGGAAGCTTTTGCCTCTTCAGGTTTGAGTTTTGTATTTGCAGCCAGGTCATCAAGAAATACTCCTTTCCCTTGGATCTAGCTCTGTATTTTGGTGGACTTAGTGAAACATGATTCTCATTTAGAAATGAGGTACTCTTGCATTCAGTACATATGTGTTGATTTGGTCATTACTTACTTGACTTTCTCATTTCTTTTGCCAAATGAACCCATGCTCCTCAGATTGCTTTGACGGTGATCACAGCTTTGAGGACATAGGACTGGCAGCTGGCCGAAGCCAACGAGAAAAGAAACGTTCTTACAAAGATTTTTTAAGGGAAGAGGAAGAAATCGCTGCTCAGGTCAGGAATTCTTCCAAGAAGAAGTTAAAGGTAAGGTTCTGAAAGTTTTTGAACTGTTTCTTGTCTTAACTAATAAAAATAAATGTCATTCACATCTATTTTTTTCTCCCTTTTTAAAGTCTCACATCTATGTGTGTTTTTTCTTTTACTTTGTTTTGCAAAGTTAAAAAATCATCAAAGAACAAGAGTCATTCCAAAGGATGATCAACTATGTTTCCTCTTGAATTCCAGGATAGTGAACTTTACTTCTTGGGGACGGACACGCACAAGAAGAAGAGGAAGCACTCCTCTGATGATTACTACTATGGAGGTAAGGATGGGAAAGGGCACCAGGTGGGATCAGCACCGTCGCTGGTTCTTAGAGTCGGGGTAGGGAAGCGCTCCAGCTGTTGCTGACTCAGTGGCCTATTTAACAGGGCAGTGGTTCTTGTTCTGAGTGCCGGTAAACCTGTGTGGAGGAGGAGACAGGTGGAGGGCTGGTATTTTGGAGGATTCAGCATAGAAGAACAGTCTTCATTTGTGATTCACCAGGTACCAGGTTCCTTCTCCCCCCAATCATCCACTTATCTTGTACTCATGGTTCTCTAGTCCCCCGGGCCCTCTGGCCTGCACCTGTGGGTTACCTCTCCATCAGTGTATAGCCACTCACAAGACCAGCTTTTCTTAGCTATGGTATGCACCTAGCTGAAGAGCGAAATGTCCCGAACACAGACACAAACTGTGCTCTTTCTGCAGCCTAATCTTAAGTGGTAAGGGCCCTTAATCCCACAGCAGGGTCCATTCTTCTGGGTTTGCTCGCTTTGGGAACTTGGGAAGACTCGGTGAAGAGAAAAACAGCTTAGTGGTGAGAACTGTCTCCTGGGTCCGAGGCAGAACAAGCCAAACCACACAACACGAGCATCATCTCTGAACTGTGGGAATCAGACGAAGGCCCGCCCCGCCATCACTCCTGTCAGCCTTTTCCTCATGTTATCTGGGCATTTGGGGTGAGAGAGAAAACAGGCTGGAAGTTGTTTCCTGTCCTGTTAACATTGCTTCTCCTGGTTATTTCCAGACCTTTCGTCTTTGGAATCGTCACAGAAGAAAAAGAAAAAATCCAGCCCGCAACCTGCCGATACAGCTATGGACCTATTGAAGGCTATCACTTCCCCACTAGCAGCGGGCTCCAAGCCCCCAAAAAAGACAGGGGAGAGAGCCTCTAGTTCTTCAAGCCATCCGGAGAGTAAAAAGGAACACCACAGGAAGAAAGTAAGTGGGAGCAGCGGGGAACTGTCCCTGGAGGATGGCAGCTCCCACAAATCCAAAAAAATGAAACCGCTCTACGTGAACACAGAGACGCTGACCCTTCGCGAGCCTGATGGCCTAAAGATGAAACTTATTCTCTCCCCAAAGGAGAAAGGAGGCAGTTCCGTTGATGAGGAGTCTTTTCAGTACCCCTCTCAGCAAGCTGCTATGAAAAAATCCTCCAAGAAATCGGCTCGGGACGAGCAAGGTGCCTTACTCCTCGGACCCGAGTTGCAGAGCTTTCTGAAATCAGCCCGGAAGAAGCACAAGTCATCCTCAGACTCACGTTCATCTCCTGGCCCAGAAGGGTCTGATGCCTCCCAGTTCCCAGAACCCCACAGTGCTAACCTCCATCTTTCAGGAATAGAACCTATTCTTGTAGAATCGGACTCGTCCTCTGGTGGAGAACTGGAGGCGGGGGAGTTAGTGATTGATGATTCTTACCGGGAAATCAAGAAAAAGAAAAAGTCAAAGAAGAGCAAAAAGAAGAAGGACAAGGAAAAGCATAAAGAGAAGCGACACTCCAAGTCCAAGAGGAGTTCAGGACTTCCCACTGCAGCAGGGGGAGAGGCCACGATGACAGCCGCCGCTCCCCCCAGCGTCGCCCCACCGCTCCCTGGCCTCCACACAGATGGGCATAGTGAGAAGAAAAAGAAAAGAGAAGACAAGGACAAAGAGAGAGAAAGGGGAGAAAAGGTAAAATTAAATTTTAAATTAATGTAATAAGTAGTTGTTCAGTGCTGGCAAGTCAGTTCTGACTCACAGTGACCTTGTATAGGGTTTCCAAGGAGCAGCTGGTTAAGTTTGAACCACTGACCTTAGGGTTCAAACCGACCTTGTGGTCCAGTGCTATATCCCACAGCACTGACTTGGGTTCACATCCAAGGTGAACCATTGGCAGTTTTGGGGGGTGGAGATGAAGTTAAAATCATATACCAAACCATCCTCAGTATCATGAAATCAATTCCAACTTATAGTGACTGTGTTTCCAAGGGCTTCGAGGATGTAAATTTTTACAGAAGCAGAAAGCCTCCTCTTTCTCTCAAAGACAGGCTAGTGGATTTGAACTGCTGACCATGAAGTTTGCAGTCCAATGCTGATCCTCAGTGCCACCAGGATTCCTGGAATCATTTGTTGTTGTTACATGCTGTCAAGTCAGTTCCGACTCTAGCAACCCTGTATAGGGTTTCTGAGGAGCGGCTGGTAGGTTTGAACTGCCAACCATGTGGTTCAAACCAACCTTGCAATCAGTGCTTATCCTACAGTCCCATACAAGTACTCCTCCTGAAATAATATAAAATATTATCATTACTACGTCTGTCTGATACAAAGATAGGACCAACACTCATTTTAGTGGATTTTCTTAGTAGAATTCTTTTCTCACTGCCCCAAGCGCAGATTGCTTCCTACTCTGACTGGTACTTAGAATCCAAGCTTAGTTTCTTTCACTCAGCAGCACTAGCCATTGAGAGATGAGAGAAACTGTTCTTTGAGGTCATTTTGAAAAACAGATTTTTAACATTAGAATTAAGTTAAAGGCATAAGCACCTATCTTTTCACTGATAGTGATTTCTTGCAGTCACTTTATTGTCCAACATATGCTTTCACCATTTGAGTGCTTAGTGATTGCCCAGCTCAGTGCTCTCTCTGCTAAGGTGCCAGGGGTTGCAGAAATGGGCAGGATGGAGCTATTGACCTCAGAGGAGAGAGGAATGAGAAACCAACCATCTCACTTTGATTTCTTTCCTCTCACTGGAGGAATTTTCCAGCAGTTGTACTGCATGGTATGATGACTATGTCATTAAAGATTGCTTTTAAAAACAAGCAAAAACCTGTTAATCAAACTGTAATGTACTTTAATAGAAGTTTGGAAATTCAGAATAGTGGGGTGGGGGGTGGGGGATTAAAAAGCAGCCATAGTTTTACCACCTGAGGACCACTCTTTCTAGTTCTGCAAAATGAAATATCAGGTAGTCGCTGGAAGAAAAGATACTAAGAAAATCAAACATATTCAGAGTTTGGGAATAGGTATCCCATTTTAGTCTACAATGGAGATGCAAGAGTTTTCCTCTTTGCAAAGGGTACCTTTTAAGAAAAGACAAAAATACATATACACATGTACATGTATGTACAAGGGGACTTCAACAAGTTAATGCAAAGTTTCCATTATCTTTACTTTCTGTTATCTTTTCATGCCATTTTCCACAAACTTTTTAACTGTTTGAAGTCCGTGGGAGGAGGCAAAACTATACCTTCTGAGCCTGAAATCACTTTTAACATATAGATAACTGGATGAATTTTTATTAATTTATTGATTTGAATATCCCTTCATCAAATAGGGTTTGTTTTGTGTGCAAAGCGATTCTGTGTTTGCTCTAGGAATTTCCATTCTGGTCTTGCAGAGACTTACAGTAGCAGCATTTCGGACTCCTGGTGTGACTCTGTAGGATCAGCATTGGACTGCCAACTGCGAGGTTGGCAGTTCAAACCCACCAGCTGCTCCTCAGAAGCCCTATCCACGGTCAGCTGGAACCGACCTGGCAGCACTTCCTAACAACAATCTTTCAGTGCTGAAGGTGGACTCGGGGAGCCTCAGCTCAACCGGAAAAAGCATAAAGGGATTCAGCGCAAGGGAATGCATGAAGACAGGAGATGGTTTAGGAAATGGCACAGTGGAATACTGAATGCGGGTCAAGTTCCTAGGCCTTGTGTAGTTTCTAACTGCTTGATAAACATTTCTGCTTCGATGCCCTGGGACCCTCAATCCAGTGTCACTAATTGAGCTTTTTGTTTATGCCCCTAAGCCTACATCTCCTCCATTGCTGGTCAGTCCAGATGCCAAACCTTAAGTGTATCATTTTTCTCAACATTTTATTACAGATTTTTCCAAATAAAAAGAAGAATTATGCAGTGAACACCATAATACCTTCCACTGAGATTCCATAATGAACATTTTGCTGTATTTGCTTTATAATATCAATCCATTGATCCATCTTATCCTTTTTTTGAGATATATTTCAAAGTAAGTTCCAGATACACACTCCGGTCCTAAACACGTCAGCTTCCATAGTACTAGCTTGGGTTCAGTATTTGTTTTCAGAGTTTTTCTGTTCTTTATTGGGATGTTTTTTGTTTTTGTTTAACTTTTTACTGTGAATTGAATGAAGGTTTACAGAACTGAACAGATAATTAGTCCCACACTATACAAATCGTACACTTCGTGTCATTTCAATGATTACATCCTTCTAGTTAACCATGCTTACCTCTATTCACTCTAACTCCTGCACTAGTTAGTCTTCCACTGCCTTCATCTTTCTTGTGCCAACTTCACTCTTGTTGCATATTGCTTTCCCCATCACCCAAGTTAGCATGTGTCTACCCTCTACCCAAAATGAAAAATTTCCCCTTCCTTCCCACGCCTGGTAACCGTCATAGAATGTGTCTTTTAGCTAGAAAACCTTTTCTTAACTTCTTACAGCAGTGGTCCTATTGTGGTTGAATAATTTTACTCAGCATAGTGTCTTCCAGGTTCATTCATGTGATGAGGTGTTACCCAGATTCATTGTTATTCTTCAGCACTGCCTTTTACGTTCAGTGTAATTATCAGTTGGTATCTGTTGATTGCTGTCATTTTGCTGTGTGATTTTTATGGTCCTGCTGGTTTCTTTGTTCCACATAAATCTGCGCTGAGTTCATTTGGTTAGTGGCTTTTCTTCTCATTTTCTTCATTGCTGTTGAATTGCATACCAAATTTTTACCGATTTTCCTGTATTTGATGTTGAAGATGTATTCCTTTTCTTTGGGAAGTTCTGTATCTATACTATTCCCTCTTTTTGCTTTGTAGGTGACCATTATAAATTGCTATCTCTGGTCCCATATTTTCAGAGTCTTGAAGATTTCCTTTTATTTTGTATACTTTTATATCTGGATTGAGTACTGAGTGAAGTTGTCATGCTTATTAACCTCAGGCAGTTGCCTGCTAGTGTCGGGTCTCAGTCCAAAGAATGCCTTTTAGTTTTTGTTTTGTTTGTTTTTTAATTTAAGGTTTTTATTGTGGATTGAGTGAAAGTTTACAGGGCACATCATCAGTTTCACACATTCAACAATTCATATAACTTGTTTCATTACATTGACCACAATCCCCTCCATATACCATCAGTTGAAAGCAGTTCTCTATCCACTTTAGGTTTTTTAAAAACACACGCAAAAAAAGCCCCACTCAGGCATATATAATAATTTACATCTCCAATGGGCACATTCTGCAAGTCTGCTCCTGGCCACCAGTTCTTAGTCCTTCTCTTGTTAGTTGATGAATCTAGAGTCCTCAGCTGCTCCCCGTCTCCATGCCCCCATCTCTATCTCCATCTCTGGTGCTGCTGCTTCTCTGGCTAAGGTCCCACATTCTATTTGTGCGTTCCTCTCTTAATGGTCCTAGGGTCCTCTGTTTCTGGACTGTAAGATTAACCACTCCCCGTTTTTTGTTATAAAACTTCCACCTTTACTACAAGTGTGACAGTCGCGATTAGTCATGATAACAGTTATTCACTATTGAATCTTACGAATCTTATCCTTTTCTTCTTTCACCAGACCCATCTAGACAAGATGATAGCTATTCAGTGGGGACTCTTTCTTTCCCCCCACACTCTTAAACTAAGCTCCCTCTTGAAACTTTGTAAACCAGTCACTTTGTGCCTTTATTGCCCCCTCATTTTAGATAGCCAGTGTCTAAGTTGCCCATCCCTATCTACCCTGTTCACAGAGTGGATAGCATTGATACTTGATTTGAAGACTCTTTCCCTCTCTGTTGGTATTTAAACTACCGGTCTGAGTATAGGTCAGGTTCATCATGAAGATGTATCATCTGTCACTGTAGCTGTTCCAGTCTGCTTGTCCTTTCTAGTGGGAATGTCTCACCTCACAAGGTTCTGGATGAGACTCAGGATTCCACCTAAGGTCCTATACTCTGTAAAGGCTTTGCATGAGGCCTATTTCACTGGGCAAGTTGTAGAACACCTTTTAGGTATTCCAATCAGTTATAGGCTGAAGACGGGCTTACAAGTTTTCTCTAATCATGCTTCCCAACATTCCTTTC